GCCGCCTTTTGAATTTGAAATGAATGGTTAAGATTGAGCCTCTGCTAACTTGATCATACGGCGAAGGATAACGTGAGCTGTTTTATCTTCTGCTATTGCTCACAATCTGTAACGTGGTTTATAGGTACTTATTATGTTTGTTTTTTGGATTGCATTTAGCATTGAGAGAAGAGTGTTTTCAGACACGATAGATGTGTGGACTGTGGAAGTACCATGCTTTTTCACGAATAGGCTGCCTCGACCAGATTGATACCACGACCTCATGAGAAACCAGCGTGATATGACCATAGTGTTGTTTCGCCGTTTTTTACCAGAGGCCAATATCAATTCTACCCCACCTGCAATCCACAAATCCTCAAACCGCTAACCCCCAAAAGGCCGGCAACTCACACGTAACTCCTCTGGTTCAGTTAAGTAAATACCCGCAACAACCACATGTTTCGGGTGTGTATCTGTCCGATATCTCTTCACACGCCACACCTTTTATTCACGTCGAAGGGGTAGGCAGCAGATACGCAGTCCCGTCGTTCCGGTGGCCGAATATCGACCGAAAACGCCCGGAGTGTCTCCTATACTAGCTAGGCTGGCTAGGCTGGGCATGAGGAGACTAGTTGTCTCGCGCGCTTCGCTTCCTTTGTTGCGCGAGCAACATTGCTTTACAAAAAGAAGAAACGGCTTCCCAGACCAATCATTACCTATGTAGGTATGTATAATATACCTACTACATAAGCTCTTTTTATTACAAATTAAGTATTATAAACAAAAATCACAAATTATTTTGTTTTTTCTTCACTAGAATTAATGATTTTCATGGAGCAGATAACACCTCTTGAAAGCAGTATAAACTTATTAATAAGTCTGAGCTGATGCGGTGGTCGTATAGCATTAAATAACAGCGAAATAAGAGTCACTTAGTACGAGTAAGTCTTGAACCTCGTCTTTACGTATCTTACGCCAAACGCCAAAGCTATCGTAAAAAAAATATACCACCTATTCATACGATAACGAGATGGAATACGATGGCGTGCCATTTAGCCCAAAGAGTATATAAACACTATGTACGTTCTAACTTTACCAGGCGCCGTTGTCGAGTGCAGACGTACGTCGTAAACATCAGAGGGTGCTGATATTCCTGCTTGCTTGGTTCGCCAACTCCGCCAGATCCAGTTGTTTCGGTTGCTCTGCGATCATAAACCGCTTCTGTCGATCGTTAGTAAGCAATACGATTTTGTGCCGCGATGGCGCTTTCTGGTTTCTACGTATATGCCTAAATCATAAACGTAATAAACTTATTTTTGCCTCCGGGTTCTACGAGGAACTTAAAAACATAATATACGTACCTACCTAAGTACTTATTTTTCAAGACAATTAATGTGTGTTTCATTCTACTGAGCAAGTCAAAAACGTACGAAGTATCTGGTTTGATGGTACCTATATATTATTATTTATTATGTACCTAGGTATCATATCACCTCAGAAGTTTTAGTTGTAGTTGTAGTGATTCTCTTCCCCTGATTCTCTAGTACATGTAGTGTTAGTGTGGACCGGCTCGACCAGAATGATGCGCAGTGCCGTAACTAACCATTCATGCACCCGTTGCGTGCTTTCAAAACTGCGCTCCTGAAAAATGCTCTAATCGGGCTTTATGTTATCAAAATATATAAGAACTTAGCATATTTCTTTTCGATAAAAATTGTTTATTCAAAAATATTTTCTCAAATACAGGAATGTTGTGTAGTGCTCGATAGTAACCCTAGGCTGTCCGTACTATTAATGTAAAGAGATAAACTTACTGGTCACGGTACTTTTGGTCGGTTCCAGTTCGGATCCGGATAGAGCCGTCTAATATGTGTGCCGTACGTACTTGGGCCGTGTCCGTTCCGTCACCAATGTGTCCTCAGGGAATTGATCGGCAGCCGTCGCCTCCTTTTTGTGTGTGATGTTCGCAAAGCAGGCGGCGGAGGGCGTGAGGGAACTATCCACCTCACGCCCCAGCCACCACATTAGGTGAAACTCCGAGCGTCGGGGATCGAGCTATGATCACCGTAAGCGCTGGTCTACGGAAGCTTGTCCCTCCACGCGCCCTGTGCCTGGGCACTTTTGGCACCGCCCTAGTTACAACACAGGTGACACGACGGCATCGCATAATACTTGCGTAACACAACTTGAACGTTGTGTTTCGTGTTTCGCCATGTGGCCACCGATAGCTTACTATCAGGATCAGGTTATACGTCAAAGGTCGCTGACCTATCCCGTTAAAAATACTGCTAGCTGCTAAATTTCCAAACAGATTCAATAAATGAATGTAATAATATAATGAATGTAATTGTGACCTCGCTGTTCATGGACCCCTACGGTCTATTAACAGCGCTTATCGCAGACAATTCCCAGACTATGTAATAATGTTGGACAATATTGGTGATATGCTTGCTCGTTTGTACCCCCAATTTATTGTAACGATGAGAAAAAACGTGACGTCACAACGCATAGTTTCAATAAATTTTTTTTTTTTTTTTTTGGTGTCGGGTTGGAAAGTCCTCATGGAGACCCACCACCCTCGGGGAAAGGGCGAAGGGTACTGTCAGACTCATACTGACTAAAAACCAACCCGGTGTTCCTCCGCTTACCCATGTGTCGGAGGGGCGGGTATCGCCGAAGCATTCGTCGCATCCCCCCGACGGGTATTGGCCCGCCAGATGGTTAGGCGGGCCCCGTCACCCACTGCGGCCGTCACCCCGACCGCAGGACTCCATTATGAGGCGCGCGCGGAACACGGCGCCGCCGCCTCGAGGCCTGCTGCTGGTCGGACGACAAGACGCCCCGAGTCTGTCGTCCGCAGGCCGCACCCTACGGTGGCCGCAGGTCGGCCACCCTACGACGTCTAGTGCGTCTGCTGCGGGAGGGGAGAGAGGAGGCAGCCTCTCTCTCCCTTTCCGCCGCCTCCTTTGCGAACATCACGGCTTCGCAGAAGGTAGCGACGGCACTCCACCCTGACTCGCTCCCGACCATAGCAGACACTACAGCCGGAAGCGAGAGATTTCCCGCAGCACCTACGGCCGCGACCACGTCCCGGCGCTGCTCGGCCCAAGCTGGGCACTCCACCAAGGTATGCAGCGCCGTATCATCGCGGCAATCACCACAATGGTGGCACTGAGACGTCGGCTCCCGACCTATGCGACACAGATACTTCCCAAAACACCCGTGTCCAGTAAGCACCTGCGTCAGCCGGAAACTGAGGGCGCCGTGGCTCCTATTGAGCCACTCCTCTAGAAAGGGCCTTACAGCCGCTATAGCGGCGTGCCCCGCCGTGGGTTGCGCTAAACGCGTCTGCCACCATTTTCGTCGTTTGGCCCCTAAGCTAGAACGGTCTGGGGCCGCGCTCAAGCGGCTCCTTCCCAACCTCGGGGGGCCAAACGCCTCCTGCCGGAGGTTGTATATGGGGATTGTGCGATCCATGGCCCTCTACGGTGCCCCTGTGTGGGCGCCGGCCTTGAAGCGGCGGCCGGCTCGTACGCTGGTCGCGTCCCAGAGGGTCATGGCTATTCGAGTAATCCGCGGGTATCGCACGATCTCCGGGGAGGCGGCGAACCTCCTTGCCGGATCACCGCCGTGGGATCTAGAAGCGAAGGCGCTCGCGCGCGTCTACAGTTTGCGCGCAGACGCGCGTCGCCGGGGCGAAGATCCTCTGCCGCGCCAAATTAGTGCGTGGCGGAATGAGCTCCGGCGAGATCTCATGGCAGAGTGGAAACAACGACTGTCGCAACCGAGGGCCGGGCACGCTACCATAGCAGCGGTAAGACCCCTCTTTGAGGAGTGGCTTGAGAGACGCCACGGCGTCCTCACCTTCCGCCTGACGCAGGTGCTTACCGGGCACGGCAGCTTCGGTAGGTTCCTGTTTCGGATTCAGCGGGAGGAAACGCCCGAGTGTCGTCATTGTGAGGACCACCTAGAGGATACGGTGGAGCATACGGTAGCGGTATGCCCTGCCTGGGCTGAGCACCGCCGTATCCTCAGGGAAGTGATCGGCGGCGGCGACCTCTCGCGCCCGGCCTTAGTCGAGGCCATGGTGCGGAGTGAGAGGAACTGGGACGCCGTCTCCTCCTTTTGTGAAGCAGTCATGCTCGCAAAGAGAGAGGCGGCCCGCGTGAGGGAGCAATCCTCCTCCTCACGCCCCAGCAGCCGCAACTGGCGACACTACGGGCGTCGGGGATCGAGGGACGATCTCCGGCCACCGTAAGTACGGGCCTGCGGTCGGCGAGTAAGGGCAGCTCGCCGCCCGACCAGAACCAGGCCCGAGCGTACGGCGCGTAGCGTTCCGCGCGCGCCTCAAAGAGCCATTCGACCACCACAGACGGGGCCCTAAAGGGCTGATGTTCAGCCGGGGTTGCGGGGTAAGCGCAATGAGGTACCGCGACCTCGGCACAGAGCAGGAGAAGGAACAGGGGGGTTTTTAGTCAGTAAGAGTCTGACACTCCCTCCTGCCCGGCCCTGGGCGGGAGAAGTCATTTGATGATTTTCCCCTCACAAAAAAAAAAAAAAAAAAAACGCGTCTGCCACTCCGCCACTAAGGCCTGACGGAGTTCTGCCCTGCGTGCCTCAACCTGTCGAGGCACCAGGCGTTCGCCTCGCTCGACTGCTTGCACGCGCCACCAATAGAGCGACGCGAGGAGTTTTGCGTCGAGGTCCCAGGGCGGGGATCCGGCTAGGAGGCTCGCTGCCTCAAAGGAGATCGTACGGTATCCCCTTATTATCCTGACGGCCATCGCGCGCTGTGGCCTTCGCAGCGCGGCGATGTTACGGGCCGTCAGGGCGTCCGCCCATACTGGCGCGGCGTATAACGCCATCGACCGTACGACCCCCATGTAGAGCCTCCGGCAGGAGGAGATGGGCCCCCCCTGGTTGGGCAGCAAGCGCGACAGCGCAGCAGCGGCGCTCATTAACCGGGGGGCGATAGTTTCAATAAATGACTTATGGTCATGTAACTAAGTATGTTGAGTTATTAATATTTCAATGTTGTTTTAGTGATATCGGCTGTTTAACATAATTGTTTTGTTTTTAGACCATCTCTACTAAAGAGTACAAATAAGTATGGAACGAGTCCCTTCGTTCGATTATTTATAAACGAACTCTTAAATGTCACTGTCAGATAGTCACTGTCAAGTTTACTTCGTGGAACTTGATGCAAATTGACTATTTATTAGTGTACTCGTTGTGTGTGTTTACGAGATTTATTTCATTATTTTATAATAATTCAACACTCCTAAAAATGTCGGAAAGAAAAGTGTTAAATGTAAGTAATAGTAGTACATAGAACCATATGGAGAGTGTATGTTATATGTAAGAACTATAGGACAGTGTTGAAATTCTTTTTAACATGTTTACAGAAATACTATCCTCCGGATTTCGATCCTTCCAAGATCCCTCGGATGAAATTAGCCAAAAATCGTCAATACACTGTACGATTGATGGCACCATTCAACATGCGATGTGCAACATGTGGCGAGTACATTTACAAAGGGAAGAAGTTCAACGCTAGAAAAGAGGATGTTGAGAATGAGGACTATCTCGGTATCAGAATTTATAGGTTTTATATAAAAGTAAGTTTTTCATTGATATTGCTAGTTTAGTGGTCTTCAACCACTTTATTGTTTATTTATTTTATTTACATACAAATAGACACATTTAGATAACCAGTTTAGGTTTTTCGGTACACTGATCTGTCGACATTCAGGTAAGTCGCTAAATTATCATTCAAGGCACATCATCTTAAAATGTGTAAATTCACCACATAGTATAAAGCAAAGTTGCTTTCTCTGATCCTATATCCATATTTACGCTTAAATCTTTAAAACAATGCTACAAATTTTGATTAGATTTTTTTTAATAGATGAAGTGATTTAGAGGAATGTTTATACATATAATAACATCCTTTAAATATTGGAGAAATTATGCATGCAAGGCTTTGCATGCATAATTGTATATGACTTTGAAGTTTTTGTAAGTTTTTTTATGTCTTAGCTAAGGTATGCAGAATATAGATACAGGAGAATATAACTTAAATTTCTTTAATCACAGCATACATATGCAAGTAATTTTATAATATTAAGGATTACTTAAAATTGTAAACTATATGCATATGTAAAATTATAAACTTCAAAAAAATTTACAATTGTAAACTTCTCACAAAAACGTTCGCTCTTGTTCCATTAAATCATTAAAATTAAAAATTAAACCAAGTTATACTTAGATTAATAATGAGGGAGAAACTTAAGTACTATTTCATAAATAATAACAGTGAACAAAAAAGGTTATGATTGTTATGTTATATTTCCAGTGTACCAGGTGCCTGCAAGAAATTTCTTTCAAAACAGACCCAAAGAACACAGACTATGAGATAGAGGCAGGTGCCACAAGAAACTTTATGGCTCTTAAACTAGCTGAGGAGCAAGCTAAGCGAGAGGAAGAAGAACAAAAAGAAGAAGAAGCCAATAATCCCATGAAGCTACTTGGTAGGATGATTCATTTTATTTCTTGTTAGGGGTCATCCATAAAGTATGTCACACATCAAGGAGTTGGGGGGAGGTCGATAAAGTGTTAACTGATGCAACAAGGTGTGAGAGGTTCTAAATTTTGTGATATCACATTTCAAAAATATTTTCGACTCTATCTTTAGTAAAACACGGTTAAATTTTAAATTGGCGACACGACGGGCTCTTTGACAATTTACTGGCGACACGACGGGCCCGGGTAATTTGTCAAAACAAATGCCGCCAAACGCACAGTACCTTGCGTGATTTTGTAATCTCTATTTAATGATTTTTGATGTGACATTGCAAAACAAGTGACGTCACGCACGCGGAGGGGAAGGGGCTCAAAAAATCATGAAAATATGTCGTACTTTATGGATGGCCCCTTAGGAACTATTTAACTAAGAAACTCCAATATGTAAAAAACAAGTTAAGAATTAGGCAAAAAAGATCATCCTTCAATACAATGCAAATTTTGTAATGCTATTTGTGTGGCATTTTTATGAGCCCCTGTCATACCTTGAAACTAGCCGAGCAAACATTTGTGTACCTTATTAACTCTAATTAATGATATGCAGTTTAAATCTCAAGTATGAAACTTGCGATTTAAACTTTTAGTTTATATAGAGGATAATGACTGTAAATCAAATCAACACATTTTTTAAAATTAATTCTCAAAACCATCTTTATATTACAGAAATTTATTTTGATATATATTTATTGGTTATATAATAAATTTCAGAATACAGGACTGAGCAGTCTAAACAAGAAATAGAGACTTTAGAAGGATTAGAAGAGCTTAAGGAATTGAATAGAAGGCAGCATGCAGTGGACTTTGAGGGAATGCTTAAGCAGTACCAACCAGAGACATCGGATGAACGGAGAGCCCGTGAGGAGAAGGAAGACGATGAGTTTATTAAGTATGTACCATACAATAACATCTTTATTATACACTTTAACATTAAGTTATAACAAACAGATAACAATAAGAAATTAATAGCCAAGTTTATACTATTATCAACCAATGGCTACTATCGCACGGTTTCACTCGCTTCTCAGATCCTACATACCGTAGCGTGATGTTTTATAAGCTAAATGGAATATAATACAAGCAAAAAAAGAACTGTTCAATTCGAACCAATAGTTCCGGAGATAAGCGCGTTCAAACAAACTCTACAGCTTTATAATATTATAGTCTCATTTACAAGATCCTTTTTTCTTCAACACACAAGAACAATATAACTGAATTCATTAGCAAAAAGCTTTGTTACTTATATGCATTGTTCAGACCTCATTTATTGTGTTATATAATTGTATACAAAAGAAGCAAAACACTTGCCTCGTTTAAGGAGTTTTAATTCTGTGTTAGCTTAACAAAAATAAATATACGAAATTCTCAAGTAAGTTCTCATTATCTACATAATAATATTACAGATAATTATTTAGTACAACAGATAATTATGTATTTTACACATTTTCACTATAGACTTAGAATATTTATTAATAACTAGGTTCCGCCCGCTCACAAAATTATTGGTGCAATAAATTATACATCTAAAATAAATCAATAAAATAATATAGATTAATCTAATAAGAAACTTGTAACAATAGAATGATACAATATTTTTAGTGCTATGTCATTGAAAGAAAAGTAACACATTCTGTGAAAAATGTGTTAATTTTGTTAAATTGTTTGTGTAAACACATTCACACAGAAATAATACAACCAGGCTGAATTCGAAAGAAAGAAAGAATTTTTTTTATTCGGAATGAGACATGAAAGCCAAAAACAAAAAAACTACAATAAAAAGTTTGAATAACAAGACAACAAAATAAAATAAAATTAAAATTAATCAAAACAATAAACTTAAAACAGACGAAAGAAATTTGCGTAATAGTAGGTAGATACCCTGGGTTGGCGGACATGCGCAATCCGAATGGGTTGCCAACTTAGCAAAAGCTGAGCACAGAGCACCCAACACTGATTTTCAGTTGGCACCCCTGCAGTGACGCACGGACGAAAGCAACACATACTATCTACTAGTAAGGATCTTCTGCATTACGACAAGATATATCAGTTTTAAGATTTGCGGGTTCTAGTGATCAGTCCAGGGAAAAAGAAAAGAAAAGAATATTATAATATATACATATATAAGAATATTATAATTCGTACTGCGGTTTCGGTGTACCATTTGAAACACAGCTTAACTGTACAGCTGCCTTAAAAATACGTGAAAGTTTGTTAGTTTAAGTTCAAAATGGCTAAAACAGGGCACCTTCTTTAAGCATGCCGTTCCTGAGAAGCAGGCATGGTCGCAAAGGAGGTGGAGCCAATGTGTTAACTATTCTCACGCCCTAGGAGTACGCCAGGTGTCAAGGTTCACGCGACGATCTCCAGCCATCGTATGCGCGGGTCTGCGGACGGCGAACATAGGTAGTTTGACCAAAACCAGACCCGAGCATATGGCGCCAACCGTTCCGCGCGCGCCTCAAAAACCACCAGACCACCTCAAAATGGGGTACACTGTGGCTGATATCCAGTCGGGGTTGAGAGTGCAAGCGCAATACGCTAAGGATTTTTACCGGAATCTGTTTTTCCCAAAGGGTATAATTACTAAATAACCTGGGTGTCTTTAAAGCCATTTTGCTTATGAGTATATAGGCGTCCTCCATCTTAGATACATCAAATTATCATTTACCACCAAGCGAGACGGCGGCTAAACGCCATCAAATTATCAATAAAAAAATATTGTGTGCCACGATTTCGGCCCGGTGCAGAAGATGGAATGGGGTGATTTTTAACCCAGGGTAATAGAAGTCACATAAGATTTAAATAAAACTAAATCCTTTTATAATATAATGAATAGATAATAATTGCATTAAGTACTAGTCTAAAACTAAGCATTATTTTCAGTTTTGTTCCTTTTTAACCGACTTCAAAAAAAGGAGGAGGTTCTCAATTCGACGAGTATTTTTTTTTTTTTTTTTTTTTTTTTTATGTATGTACACCGATTACTCGAAGACGCCTGGGCCGATTTGCAAATTTTTTTTTTTATTCGATGGGGTATACTTGCCATTTGGTCCCATTGTCATGAGGTCAGGACCTGATGATGGAATCCTGGAGAAACCGAGGGGAACTTTCGAAAATTGTAGGGGCGAGTAGTTTTTTTGTATGATGTTTAAGTAGGCCTTTAACAACACTACAACTTGACGAAGGTCGAAGTCGACCAGATGTTGGAGCTGGAAGACAGTCGAGGGATCTCCTTGACTTTTTGGAGCAGTTGCCTTGTGTTTGGGCTTGAATGATTCGTATTGGCGAGCACTTTGCACCAGACTTGGTCGTAACTATCATTAAGGGTATGATGATGAGAACGAAGGACAGCTCAGGGAACTCCTGAACGGTTTACACTAACTACTTCGTGTTTGAACTTAATTCATTTATGTTGATGAAAACTTTGTACCTGTATGGATTATAACAACTGAAGGTCTGCAGTGTACCTGACGATGGAGACCATTGACAGTCGAGGGAATTCCTCAACGATTCATAGCAGCTTCCTTGTGTTTGAGCTTAATTAATTGGTTTTGATAATAACTTTACATCTAGATGGATTGTGACTATCATTAGAGATCAAGACGAAGGACAGTCTAGGGAACTCCTCAACGGTTTACAGTAGCGACCTCGTGTTTGGACTTAATTTGTTTATATTGATAAGAACTTTCCCTCTCCTAGAGAGGTGGCTTGTGACCCAGTAGTGGGAACATTAAAAAGGCTGATGATGATGATGATATATATGAGAACTTTCCCGTTTCTTGGGATCTATATTTTTTAATAGAGCGGCTCCTTTCGCAGGCCTACACATAGCTACTTAAAAATATATATACTATTCAATATGTTAATTTATATTTAAATTGTTACTGTAGTTTACAGAAGAACTTGTAACAGACACTAAAAAGTAAAAAATAAAAAAAACTACGTTTAAAAAAACCGACTTCAAAAACAAAAAAGTGTCAAATAATTAAAATAGATATTTTAATAGCACTCTTACGTACGCGAAGCTAATACTTTAATATTAATAATAAAATACTATCAATTCTATGTGCTACCTATTCATAGGTTTGAAGTCGGTGCCAAGCCCTAAACAGAATAAAACTAAATGAGAATTAAGACTGTTTAACTGCTAAAGTACGAAATTTCCACAACCAACAACGAACCTACCTACTACTACTTTTAACAACCCACGAGTTACATTAAGTACGAGAAAACTTTTAGAATTCATATTTCACCCGAATATCTTTCTAAGTTATATATAATTTCGCATGTAACGAAACAATATAGACTTCTGATTCTACGCTAAGGCCATCAATCAAATGCTTATAATATTATGTATTAGGCTTGGCACCGACTTTAAACCTATGAATAGGTAGCACATAGAATTGATAGTGTTTTATTATTAATATTAAAGTATTAGCTTCGCGTACGTAAGAGTGCTATTAAAATATCTATTTTAATTATTTGACACTTTTTTGTTTTTGAAGTCGGTTTTTTTAAACGTAGTTTTTTTGAAATATCTAATGCCACTTATAAAATAGTTTAGACGCGATAATTATCTTGTTTTCTTTTTTTATATTGCAATTTATTCATTTTCTCTCCTATCAAAACTTGCCCGGACCAGAATTAGCTATCAATGTCTACAACATATAATTACGCGATAAAATGGTTTTTCGCGTTAATATTCGCATAATTATATGTTGTACACATAAAACGCGAAAGTTTAAAAGATAGTATTAGCTACGCGATAGTTTAAAAGTTATTGTTAGCTATTCCGTTTAAGAATTTTAGCGAATCTAACATACAGTAATTCATTTTATATAAAAAGCTATAGAAGAAAACACAAACAAAAATTTGTATTTGCTGTTTCCCGATTTAGTAAATAGCTTCTATAGACCGTTCTTTTATTTTCAGGTCAGTAAAATTCAACAATCCATCAATGAAAAAGGTGATAGCAGAAGAAATAATTGAGGAAGTGAAAGATGAAGAAGACAGTGGACCTCCAGCCAAGACTTCTAGGATAGAAATAATACCGCAGCGAACAAGCAGTTTGAAAAAGGCAGAATCGTGGAACAAAAGTATAGGAGTGCTATCTAAGAAGTCAGCGTTATCGAACTTAGTGAAAAGTAAGAAGGATAATGGTTCAAGTGTTTCGACTACTAGTGTAAGTACTGACATATCAAGTAAAGTGACAACGCCGGCCTCCGGGCTCTCGTTGCTAGCAGACTACTCCGGTAGCGACAGTGATTCCCAATAATGTAAATAACATACATAATATATGCTAATATAGGATTGGAATTCGATCTTAGTATATCATTGAAATCATCCCATTGACATTTTTGTTTGTTAGTTTATTATTCATAAAGCTGTCGATTCTAGCCAGCAATATGTCAATTTTATTGGATTTTCATCTTTATTACAAAACCATTAAATTAAAAGTCAACTGATAAATTCATGTGTCAGTGTCAATTTAAAAAGGTTTTAAGGGGATTTATTAATAATTCTCAATACCCCCCCCCCCCCCCCCCCCGTACACCTTAAACATAGCTCCAAAGAGGTAAACTATAAATAGGTAAACTATTTGATGCTGGTTTACATTTGTAATACTATATGTTAGTGTCTCAGTAACTTATTTTTGCGTTAGCGGGTATTTAATTTAATAATACGTAAAATAATAAAATTTGGATTGATGTGGCTTGAGTCAAGACGTTACATATGCGACTGTCTGCTAGTAGACCTTATTAAACCGATATTATTGAAATCAATAGATCTACTGAACTTACTAATTATTTACGAATAATAATATTCCCGGAGGTTTTTCTGGTAGGGGAAAATCATCAAATGACTTCTCCCGACCAGGGTAGGGACGGAGTGGGACTCTTACTGACTAAAAATCCCCGTTTCTTCTCAAGGTGCCTCATTGCGCTTGCCTCGCAATTCCGGCTGAAAATCAGCCCTGTAGGGCTCCGTATGTGGTGGTCTATAGGCGCGTGTATTTGAGGCGCGCGCGAAACGCTACGCGCCGTACGCTCGGGTCTGGATGAGGATACTTCTCTCACGCGGTCCGCCTGCTTCTTTCCGAGCATAACTGCTTCACAGAAAGAGGCACGCCTTTCTAGTTCCTCTCGCTACGCACCATGGCCTCAATTAAGGCTGGGCGCGGGAGTCGCCGTCGCACTTCTCTGAGGACACGGCCTAGCTCGGCCCAAGCCCCCTGCTAGGGCCGAGCATCGAAAAACACCACCGCCGTATGCTCCACCATGTCCTTAGAGTGGTCCTGGTGTTCCCTCCCGCTGGATCCGAAACAGGAACCTACAGAAGCTTCCATGCCCGGTAAGCACCTACGCCAGGGCGGAAGGTGAGGACGTGGCGTCTCTTAAGCCACTCCTCAAAATGCGGTCTTACCGCTGCTATAGCAGCGTACCCGAATATTCACGGACGCTGAAATTAAGAATATGCTCTCTTGACCTTGGTGAAAAGTAGTCACTCTATGTGCGCTTTTTGGGGAATACCTACCTAACGTCTGCTAAGTAGCTATATGAAACGAGACGTACTGATAACACACGACCCGATAACACAAGTCGATGGTATATACCCCAATACTACAATTACAAGTTAGATAGATCAGATTATGAAACATTGTGCAATAAATCAAATACATGTTTATTCATTCTACCAAATAAATACATATAATTTTTCATTAAAAGTAGCTAGCTGCCTTTGGTAAAAGATCGTAGTCGATTTATATATATATTGTATTACATAATTAACAGAGATCCCTGTCAACGGGATCACACAGCATAGTAAGCGGTTAAAATTAATATAAAGACTGGATTACTGCCGCCTCTAATCTTATAAGAATTCTTCCCTTTCATCCAACATCCTATAAAAAGAATCAAAATATTGATAAATCACGACAGTGATTAGTTATTTAACGTGGCTGGATAATTGTTTCCTCGAATATTGCATTAAACCAAATAAAATATGTTCCTAGCACATAAAAAAATACAGTATGTATCAAAAGATGACATTTGAAAAAAGCTTATAGAGTATGGTGTATCGGCAATGCAACAAAAACAGATTACTGCTAGGTGGATGACAATCGGCTTACCGCTTTAGGTCGGTGGCGGCGAAACACCTCTAGCCGCCCTTTGTTACCGTGCCTTCTATTTATTACGGTGTCAAGTGCATTCACTCGGCCAGTTTACGTGGCGCTTTCTTGTTTTGATTCGAAGCTCCATACTATACAGGTAGTTCAAACTTTCAACATATATATTTTTTTGGATTTCGTTATATATAGAAATATTTGTATGCCGTTTTATATTTTTATATTCATAGGCTGGATTTTGCTTTCCTGATACTAAGTTACTTTCGTATTATTGTCGTCTTTATAAATATGTTCGCTTTTTGTATTTGCATATTGTGTGTAGTTTCTTCAGTCGAAAAAACAAAATGCCTACATTTTTTTGCCTTTAAATGCATTAATCATAACATTTTTTTTTCTAAATGTATTTCACGCAAAACATTTTGGCACCGTGTGCATATAAATAAATATACAGAAAATTATCACTTGACATTTCAAAAAAGTATTGATTCATACTAGTTAAAACTATCTGATTCTGAGATATTGGAATCAAATACGTAATTCTTCATTAAAGTACTTACCTTATTTCAAAAATAAGATCTTTTGACTTATTTAACATAAATACAAACATTAACAGTACCTCAGAAAATGAAAAAAAATTAGACCAGCCTGTAGATGTGTAGATCCTTTTTTACACAAGTTACCTGGCTTCGGAATTAATTGATTGGAAAAGGTCGTTCAATGCATTTGATGAACGAATAGGGAATAGCGTAGGTGTTACACTATAATAACGATATTATCAAGAATTTTTGAAAAAATGGTCGCTTTTATTTTACCAATAATCGCTTTAATTAAGAACTAAACCCTTAAAGGCGCTAGAGGAAAAGAAAAAGCTGGATCACCTTGTGGGTGGTTAACTTTCGTAATTAAATAGATCAAAGAATTTAAAATTTTGTTATCATTAAATATTATTTATACTTAAGTTTGTGAGGATCCCTAATTTATGGGCCGGATAATCAAAACTTTCGATTTCAATATTATTAGTTGATGCTGATGCACTGCTGTTTCTTACTTTTCGTTGTCTTGATTTCTGGTTGATGAACTTATAATGAAAATTACCTTTGTTTGTCTATTTATAATTCAAGGACAGCAGAACTGATTGATGGTAGCTTAGTTACACTCACTTAAATGGAGGAATAATAATAGAAATGGAGATGGAAGTTTGCATGCCCCATTGGTATTTTCAAACAAAAACAAAAATCGTCCATCTAAATAAATCTGCCCCCAACCTTGACCTTGAAAGTGAGGGAGAAAGAAAATGAGATGTCGTAGTTTTCAAAGTAGATAGCTAAAAATCAATCCACATATTCTTTGTTCTTAACTAAAACTACCTGCTCTATTATTTTATAAATGTTAGTCCTAATTCTAAAATAGTCGGAATCTTTTTTAACATTATATCGTCTACAGTACTGTAGGAAAATAACACTGTGTTCTAAAACAGGAAGGTGGAACTGCGTCATTCCGAATAACATGTGCGAACTTGTGGAAAATAGGTAGTTATTATTACATACATACACATCATCAGATCATCAGCCTATAAGTGCCTACTGCTGAGCAAGGGCCTCTTCTCACATTGAGAAGGTGAAGAGGCCCTTAGCATTAATCAACACGCTTGCTCAAGGCGGATTGGCGATTTCAAACTTATAATTAGATATTTATAAGTCCAGGTTTACTCACGATGTATTCCTTCACCGTATGTCAATGTTCAAAAAAAATGTCCTAACGGAGCTTATATGTTTTAGAGCAAAAGCCCTTAAAACTATTGATTAAAAAAATGACAGTTGTGCTTAAATTATCATAGCTATAAATCAGAAAAAGTCAAATTGGTACTTGCCAAGTTTACGTATTCACACCCTCATCCATGAGAAGCGGACGCCCTAACTTTCAGGCCACCACGACGATTACACATATACATATTGAGAACATACATACATATTAACGTAAAATGTCATTTTACCTGTCTTCTACCGGTACATATTTGTATACGACAAAAAAGGGATTTATTTATTTATTTTTATTTATTTAATAAATGGTGAATCAACAGCTACATTATACAATTTTAGCAGAAAAATAGAAACATTGAGCCACTTACAGATTCACAGGAATATATAGTGCCTAAATAGCTAACAGCTAAGACCAAATTAAAATTGTAAATATATTAAAAACACTAGGCACACTGCAAGTGCAATTTGAAAAAAACATAAATTATTTATTAAAAAATTCTCCACTAATCATGGTTCTAGCAATTCTCAGGCTTGTACAAAAGATATCTACATCATGCTTGCTACTGATGTCGTTAAAGGTACGACAAGCTCGACACAAATAAAATGTTCCTCGCCTAGATTCACCGTTTCGACAAACCAAAGGTTAGGTATGGCTTGACACTAACGGCCATTTGAAAGGAAAACACAGTCATCCTATTTTGCCTACAATTTTGTTTATGTTGTAGATGAAGGGCTTCTAATGACCATACTACCATCTAATAGGTTAATATCAGCTTTTTGCCTAACCCCAGTGATTTTGACTGTCCTCGTAAAGTTAAAGCCATTAGTAATACATTAGGACGTTGTGATGGATTGGAAATCTGCTCTGGGTGGTTATTGTGTTGTTTGACCATTTAATTTTAATAGACCCTGTCGTTGCTTTGAATCGCAAGGTCGCAAAACACAACAGATTTATATATCTGTATTTAATTTTCTGTGGTATTTCGGAATTCTTTATATTTATTCCTTTCATATGGAAGTTTTTTCATATAAGCACATCTTAAGATAATGTTAAAAAATATATAAATAAAGACCTATGAAAAATGGCACCAAAACACCAAAAGCATACTTACAATAGTTTCGTACAACAGGATCTTTGTTTAGTAACTTATGATGCAACTTCAAAAGTCCATATCGTGATCACTGATATAAATAGTTCACAAAAATGTAACGCGGACCATAGACAAAAGATGACGTTCTTTATTATTGTTACTTATTTAACCGGTTTATTGACGACAAACGATTTAGTATTTCAATGACGTGCGTAGGCATGCCATCAAGCTATCCATGCAAAGAATCAAGACCTGTTTCGGCACGAATGGGTCGGCTCGACCGAAGTGATACCACGGACTCACAGAAAACCGACGTGAAACAACCACAGTGTCGTTTTTCGCCGTGTGAGTGAGGTAACCGGAGGCCCAATCCTTGCCCTTCCTCAAACCCTACTCAATCCCAAAAGGTGTTCATCGTCGGC